CAGTTCTGACGCGTCGCGTGTTACTATTTGTTTACAATAATTTACACAAGACGTTGATCAAATTTTCAACTAATCTTGTCACGCCACGTGTCAATATCCGAATGTACTATTTTGTGGATAAATTTTCGATAAGATTTTCAACCAATCATGTAGTACCACGTGGCATTATCCAGAACCTCATCTTTTCTCTTTTTGTCCATATAAACCCTACATCCATCCTAATTCATACACCAAACTCAATTCTTCTTTTTTAGCTCAAAATCCTTCTTCATCGTTTTTAAATCTTGAGTTCTTATAATGTCTTCTTCAAGGAGATTGTATGAAATCGATGAGCAACAAAAAGAATTGTTCAATCTCGAGGAAGGTGGAGATGAGGCTTTCGCAATGGAAGATGATGAGGATGATAAACATAGAAGGCAGAGAGTAGGGGTGGGCAAATTGGCCTAGACCCGAAGTCCGGGGGCGAGGCGGGTCTAAGTATATGGCGGGGCGGGACGGGTCCAATTTCTGAGGTCATCTCCAATCGAAGGGTCCAGAGGACCAAAGGGCCTGAAAACGCTTGAAAATCGTCTCTAACTGAGGGCTAGGCTAGATGGCTCGTGGACCCTACGGAATCTGAAAGGGTCAAAAGGTTGGCCCAATCCAGCCAGCCTCAGGTTGGCAAGAAATGTGAGCATTTCTATTGGTTATATCCGACAGGAATACTAGGCCAAATTTTCAAATGTAACAGCTAGTTGATGTCAGCTAGCCGTTATTTTTGAATTTTTTTTAACAGTTTTATTTACAAATTTTTTTTCCTATAACTTATATTTTAAAATTCTATATTTTTCTATAACTTCCCATAACTTCTATTTTACAAATTTGTTTCATATTTTTTTCCTATAACTTCTATTTTACAAAATTTGTTTCATATTTTTTTTTAAATTCCATTTTTCCTATAAATTTGTTTCATATTTTTTTAACTTCTATTTTTTTCGTATAACTTCCTAAGCCATTATAAAACATTAAATTAAATTAAGTAACATAAAACAACATTAAACAATATGAAACATTAAATAACATTAACCAACATAAAAATTATACAACATAAAAAAACATTTAACAACATGAAACTTAAACAATATTTTTAAAAACATTTAACAACATAAATTATGTTGTAGGTTTTAAATAATAAATTATGTTTGGCCCTATGGCCCTTTGGTCCTCGGTTGGAAACGGTTTTTTGTGATAGGGCTAAAACGAGCCATATGCCCCTTTGGCCATCGGTTGGAGATGGAGGCAAATATGGCCATGTACTATTCATTAAAATATTAATATCTTGGAGGGCCAGAGGGCTAAAACGAGCCCTCGGTTGGAGATGGCCTGAGTATACACGGGCCCTGGCTCGGACCGTATACACTTGCATTCATCCATTCTCTCTCACAAACACATACACGTGGCTATGCAATTCCTTTCTTGGTTTCTCCGATTCTCCTCAATCCTCAATCTTCTTTGTTGAATCTTGATCGACTTCGTCGATTCTTAAACTCGGAGACTTTCCTCCCTTTCGATCTCTCTCTCCCAGATCGTTGTCGTTGATTCTTAAACTCAGAGACTTTCCTCCTCACCATCTGCTCATCTCGACTCCGAGTCTTCGACGACCACCATCTGCTCCTCTCAACTTCGGCCACCACCTTACAGTCCTGAGTCTCCTGACTTCTGAGTTCCGACCAATCCATTTTGAAGCCACAAGGCATTCAATTTTAGCCTTTGGGGAATTAAGGAATTAGGGTTTTTCTAGATTTAGGGATTTTGATTTATTCTGTTCTATTTTGGTTTCAATAATTTTGAATTATTTTATATCAGAAATTATGTTTTGGGTTCTATTTATTCGGTTGCGATTTTGTAATTTAGATCATAATCTAAGCTTTGAGAATTAACTACATGTGTCATGTATGGAACCCTTCTCATCATTGGCATGTAGGGCTTGTTATTGTTATTATCCAAATTCTTTCAAAACTTGAGCTTCAAGTAATTATTATCATATTCTGCATTTTAGGGATTTATATATTAAACCGTTAATTTTTTGCGATACAAGGTTCTGAAAAATGGGGTTGAAGTTAAGCTGCAAAAGAATGCATTAAGTGTGCTCGAACATCCTACAAGGAATGAGGAAGATTCCGATCTTGAGTACTCTAGCAGGCTCAACAGCAAACGGAGTAAAGAGGAGAAGTTGAAGCACTGAGAGTCTAAGAGTGGGACTTGAAGGCTTTTCTAAGTTCCAAATCAACCAACACAAATTCAAATCTCTTAAGTATCATACCCAAACAACTTTTATTACATGTTAATTACCAATTATAGTATAATTTGCACTCTGTTAGGAACCATGGATAGATTACAACAATGTTCTATATTTTGGATTTGGATAATAATATTAATATGCTCTGCTAGGCATAATCTCTACTCCAATACTCATCTAATATGTGTGTCTGATGCAGTGCTGTTGTGCATTCTCAAGCCTATAGCCTTCTAGATTATTGCAGAAAAAACTTCCCATATTTGTTTTTCATCAAGAACTTTGCTGCATTTCAAAGGAAAATTCAACAACAACAAAATTAAAGGAAAAAAAAAAAAAGTAAATGGACCCGTGGACTTGCCTCGAATCGGCCCGTTTTAAACGGGCCAGGTTAGGTCCAGTTCCAAAACTTAGAATTCCTATACCTGCCCTGCCCCACCCAGTTAGATTTTTAAACGGGTATGTTCCATCCCTCCAAATTTAGGCCCGCCCCGACCTGTGCCCACCCCTAACAGAGAGTTTCACATTCCCGTCGTGTTGGAAGTTGTGGGTCAGATATCCAAACCTAGACATGCCGCAAACTTGGATAGAAAGAGAGAAAGACAAGGCAAACTTAGTGTGTTTTTTTTTTTTTTAAGTTTATTTGGTGAGTTTATGTAATTTTATTTGGTATGTTTTTTTTAAGTTTATTTGGTGAGTTTATGTAATTTTATTTGGTGTGTTTACATAAAGTACTACAAATAAATAAGAAATTACATCATATATACTAAAACTCAGTTTGGGGGCACTATTGATGACCAGTAGTCAGACGATTTTGCCCCTCGATTTTTGCTTTGTTTGGCTTGCTTTTTTCTCTTTTCTGCAGTGAAAGGTCGATTTTGCCCATTTGATCCACACGTCCATCATCCTTAATATGTCCCTTTCCTCCGTGAGTTTTCTTTTCGGTTTAACACTTTGCTTCTGTTGCTCTCTCTCTCTCTCTCTCTCTCTCTCTCTCTCACACACACACACACACACACACACATCTATACCTTATTCTCACTGCTCCCGACTAATTGTTTGGTGTTCTTAAATATTGTGTTCACTGGCTCAAAAAATATTGGGGGGGGGGGTGTTTTTTGATTTTCGTCTTTTAAGCGATCTTATTTCTGCTATCTGATTTGAGGTGGGTTTTCAGACCTAGGGTTCTAAGTATATTTTCTCCGATCCCATAAAATTGGTTTTCGAGATTTATAGACTTTGCGATCCATGGTCGACCATTTTGGGATTCTTGCGTTTGTTTCTATTTGGTATTGACGAATTTTGGCCGAATCTGTTTCCTGTTTTCTTCTCTGTTTGAGCGGTCGTTGCCTTTCGGTCGTTCAACGCCTAATATCCTTCGAACGTTGGGAAATAAATTTAATACAACCGAGGTATGTTTTATAATTGATGGCTTTCAGTTTTTGTTCTGTATTTTTGTTGATTTGGATGAAGCTCTAATAATTTTGTTTTCGATTAGTTATGGTCCTTTTGTTAGGATTTTCCTGGTTGAGAGGGTGTTTTGCATTTTCGTTGCTCGGTGAGAACAGCTCTGGTGGTCCTTGTTGAAGTTCATTTCGAGTGCAAATATAAGGATAATATAACGGCACAAGTAAGGGTGTCGAACCACAGGGGCTGATAAAAACAACTTAGTAAAACCTTTGACTCTTACAAATGAGCATTAGTTAAAGACTCCTATGACTTAAAATGGGGGGTTTGAGTAATTTTTGGAAAAGAAATAAAGACAGAAAGAAAAGGGAAAAATTAGAACTATCTAAAAAATAAACCTAAGACAAGGATTAGGTTAGAAACGTTTTTAGGACATAAATCTGACTTCAAATAAATAAAGGTCTTCCGCTAAACATTCATGAATCAGTGATATGATCTTTTAACTTATCCATTTCAAATGCACAACTAAGATGTTCACATATCTAGCATTGCATATAACTATATTGTATGAATCATCTCTTACTTTGCATGTTAGATGCATGACATATACATAAAACTTATATTTGTAGGTGTAACCTAGCATGACATATACTTAGATTTAGCACCTAGAAACTCGTTAAGAACGAAGAGGATTATGAACATCACATGAACCCTAGAACATGACATTTATCCTAGAACTTCATGGAAGCAATTTACATGATTAGTTCTGAACCTAACCACATGTTGCTAATGAATGAAAGAAGATATGGCAATCATCCTTATCATTCTCAACAGAAAGCAAACATAAACAACGTAGCTAAACTTGAAAATATGTGCTTGAAATAATTAAGACAAAAAATTGATTCTAGCTTGCAAATGAAATTGATAAACTAAAATTGCATCATAACAATAATTCAATCATGTCTAGGGCTTCAAAGTAGCCCTAAGTATCCATAAACTAAATTTAAAACATAACAAAATACATAAGAACAAAATACAAAAAAAGTTAGGAAAGCCAGAACCTAGAAATTGCTCAAGGCTGAAGACTCCTGCCATAACGACCCAAAATTTCTAATTCAGAAGCTAAACACACAGGTAGGCCTCAATAAAATAATGGTTAATTATAATTCTAACTAACCACACAAAAAAAAAATGTTGAGTTTATGGCTGCATCTAACATCTTGGTTAGACTGCCTATATACCCTAAAAGAAGGGATCAAGTCATTCGTAGTTCACCTTATGCTTCTAGAAAACATACAAAATTTTCATTTCGTCGGTCATGAGAGATTTGTTCCTTACTGGTTTGGAATTTCAGGGAACGTTTGGATTGTATCAAGGTGCATGTAACCATGAAGAATTGCATAATTTGATGAAGGCAACAGTGATGATTCGCAGACTAAAAAATGATGTTCTTTCTGAGCTTCCTGTGAAGCGTAGGCAACAGGTCAGTGTCTGTGTGCTTTTCCCAATCTGCGTTTTGACCCGTGGGATGGCCTTGGTAGTTACAATCAGTGATATTTACCCTCCCCCCACCCCCCACCCCTCTGTCTTCTCTCTTCTCTTGCTGATCTCAGGTCTTTTTGGATTTGGCCGAAAAGGACATGAAACAAATCAATGCTTTCTTCCGGGAGGTAATCCAAGTCTCGTTAATGAAGTTGATAAGTTGAGAATAAGTAGCTATTGCCCTCTTGGAGTTCCAACTAGCTGAAGTCCGTTCACGTTTTGTTGTGCTGTTATCTTATATGAAACCTTTTAATTTCCTTTTTCCCCATATTTTATTAGTTGTATGATTTCTTTGCTGTGGCACCATGGTTATACATTATTTATGTGCCTTGTAAAGTTTAATTGATATAAGGAAAATTATAATAGAGCGTTGCTGCTGTTTATCTCCTTTTTTGTAGTTGGAAGTGGTGAAAGGGAAAATTAAGGCCTGCCAATCCAAAGAAGAGGTTGATTCACTGAAGTTTACTGAGAAGAATCTCATGAATAAGGTATTCATGCATTACGCTTGCAGTGTAGGGCACATGGGGCAAAGATAGTTCCTTTCTTATGCTGAAAATGCTGAAATAGTCATGCCATTTCTTCTTGTAGTTTTTCTTTTACAATTGGATAGCTTAATTTGAACCCTTTAACTTCCTCATTTGTCCTCCAGATATATACGGATTCTGCTGAGGCTAAGATCCCCACAGTTTTGGATTACCTGGGAACTGTCATGGAGGTACTTCACCCTATATTATATCCTTCTCTCTGTCTTTAGTTATATTTTTCTAAGGTGCTTTTGTTTCCTTATCATTAGTTTAGTCTGAATGTTTTCCTTTTCAGAGTTTTAAATGTTCTTATATAATGGTTCTTGCAGGCAGGCTGCAAGTTTCTTGTATTTGCACACCATCAGTCCATGATTGATTCGATATATCAGTTTCTTCTGGTAAGGCCACATGAATTCAAAATTTCCTCTAAGATTGGCCAATTTCTTATAAGAACTTCCAATTTTCCAGAAAAAGAAAGTGGGTTGCATTCGAATTGATGGAAGTATCCCTACTGTAGCGAGGCAAGCTTATGTTACAGAATTTCAAGAAAAAGATTCTATCAAGGCAGCAGTGGTATGGTAGTTTGCTTCATTTATTTACTTTGTTTTTCTGTGTAACCTTACTGAGTTCTTTTGTCGTTTGAAAATTGTTAAAAAAATAAAATAAAATAAAATAAACTGAAAATTTGGAGTGCTACAACTCAGGTTGTTCTGTGATATATGTCTAATGTTTGTCATTAAATATCACCGTGCAGCTCTCTATCAAAGCTGGAGGCGTTGGATTAACATTGACAGCTGCAAGCACTGTTATTTTCGCAGAACTGTCATGGACTCCTGGCGATCTAATTCAAGCTGAAGATCGTGCTCATAGAATTGGCCAGGTAAAGTTTGTGATTCTGAAGAACTCTTTGCATTAATTTAAAAATATTCTCTTCGACAGTTCCATGTTTCCAAGGGTGATTGGTGTTGGGCTGACCTAAGCCTATTCTTAATTTGTTATACACGAACAGCAAACATTTGATGCATTTATGCATTTCCTTGATGTGTTTTGTTCATGTTTTTAGGTGTCTTCGGTCAATATATATTACCTTCTAGCAAATGACACGGTTGATGACATTATATGGTATGATTTTACACAATTCTCTACTTTCCAAATAGTTTGATGATTTTTGTATCTCTAACACTCTTCATCTTCAGGGATGTTGTTCAGAGCAAGTTGGAAAATCTCGGACAGGTAATTTCGATCCCTTCTTGGGGAGCGTCTTAAATATAGTAAACGTTGCACATACTTGCACAGACCTGACACATTACTGAGCTCTAATTCATCTTCTGTATTCCTTCTTGGGGGCAAAAAGGAAAAGAAACTTAGTTTTTTTTTAGAGTAAACTGAATTCTGGTTTTTGGACAATCAGATGCTCGATGGCCACGAGAATACCATGGAAGTTGCAGCCAGCCAGCCACGAAGCAGCCCTGCAAAGCAAAAACTTGCATTCAGCCAGCCGGGAAGCAGCCCTTCAAAGCAGAAAACACCCGACTCTTACATGAAGCGTTGTAACAGCAGGGAAGACCCCGAAAATCAGCCCAAGTTCAAAAACCCAAGGCACTGAATGAAGACTACCAAATGGTAATTTTGCCAGTTTGAAATGCGTTTAGAGCACAATATTGAAGCTAAACTAGTGATGTGAATGGTGAATGGTGATCTTACCGTGTCAGGTTAATGCAACCGTATAGTTATGTAGATGCTGCCGGAGTTGCATACAAGATTGTTTCGACACGCATGCAATCTATCGAGGTCCATCGGATCGCCCCCCTCAAACTCTTCTTAAAAATAGGAGCGTTTTTATACAATACACCGGTGTACTCTTCATTCATTCGGTGCATGCCATATACTGTAGAATACTAGAATTTTCGTAGACCGGGACCTCTGAGTAAAATTCAAGCATGTGCACCCAAGGGAAAGTGCTCGCAAGTCACATCACCCTAGGTAAGGGTGGCTTTTTTCAGGAAAGAAGCGTTCAGTGGAAAGTTATTCAGTTTAGCAAGCCTAAAAGGCACCATTGTTCGAAAAAGAACGAGAAGGAACTCATGCCCACATTCTAACTGTATACTGCAAGTATCGTATTAACTACAGGCGGAGACGGTACGCCGTGGAACAAAACAATTTTTGAGTAATTTAAAATTCATTCCTCAAGGCAAATAGGAATGTAAAAGTATTAGCCCAACGATGTGGGGGTTAACTAAACAGCATAATTTGAAAAAAACAGGTGGTCTAGTAACTCCTGCCCCAGTAGGTCCACTTCTTCGCAGGTTTTCCAGAGGCAAAACAAAGTGTCCCTGCACAGAAGTCGCATTTTCAATTTCCAAACACTTTGAGGCACTACTTTGTAACGAATGCACCTGCTGACCATAAACTAAACATGCTGTGAAGCTTCGTATGCAAATTAAAAACGTACCTTCAGGAAGTTCGGGCTGCTCAAATGGGGTGCACAGCGACTTGGCTGCTCCGATTTCACCCTTTGTTCGTTTTTTCACTTCCTCTTCTACTGCCTGGTAAATGTGAAGGAAACGGTGAAAGGAAAGACGATGACAGAAAAATTAAAAGGTTTGTAAAAAAGAAACATGAGTAGTACCAAACACAAATCACAACATAATTATTTAACAAACAACAAAACTGAGTGCTGATCTAAGAACCCAAACAGGCAAGAACTTAATATGAGAGATTGATACCCATCATGTTATAAAAACACAAAATCGTAAGTGACAGTGATTAAGTACCAGATGCTAGATCGTAATATAAGTGAGTGATTACAGTACCTGTTCATCACACCAAGGAGCCAAGATCATTTTCTTTTGGTTTAGAGCTTCCATAAATTCTTCCCATGTCTTTGCAACCTTGATAGAAGCATCTCGTTTTTCCTTTGCAACATTGAACAGATTTTCGTGAATTTTCACCAAGATGTCTTGTACTTGCTCAACCAAGTTGCTCACAGGAATGTCCTCCTTTGCTGAATTGTCACGGCGGACAACGCGTACCTAAACCAAGCAAACACTATTCAATCCTTCAAGAGAATCACCAATGATTTTGACAGGAAAACAGGATTACAAACAACAGTTTTAACACAAGCATCTTCATAATTGCAAATTCATAAGGTAAGGAACAGGTTAACATTTCATACATCGGCTCCCATTTTAATCCTTGAAGGTAAGGAACAGGCCAACTAATGTTTGCTTGTCTCCCATTTTAATCCTTGAAGGTAAGGAACAGGCTAACTAATGTTTGCTTGTCCACACACCAGACAGGTCCAGGCCCTAATATTACCAGGAAAAGATGCATCTTTACTTAACATGTCATACTCGAATATACAAGACTTGCCCAAGACCTGATATGCCAGTATTTTACCCAACCTGCCTTTTAGCAGCTTACATTTCATGATGAGGCCAGAAATAAAACCATGAGATCTGTGCTAAACAGGTCCCTGGGCCTAATGACAAGCTTACTCAACAGGACAAAAAGACCAGAAGCAAATATGAGCAACTAGGTGGAAAATCGAATTAAATGGAAGAACAGCCTCACTTGATTTTTTTCCAGATCCTTTGGTCCGATTTCAATCCTTAGAGGAACACCTTTCATTTCCCAATGTGAATACTTCCAACCAGGAGTTTGGTTGTCACTTATATCTGCCTCAGCGCGAATACCAGCTTTAGTCAAGGTATCCACAGTTTTCGAGCAGGCATCATATATCTCTTCCATAGGAGTATTCTTGTAAGGCACTGGAACCACAATAGCCTGAATAGCTGCTACTTTAGGTGGTAATACCAAGCCTTTATCATCTCCATGCACCATCACCATCACTCCAATCTAAACAAAATACCAATAATGATAAGAACACTAATAAAAAACAAAAAGATTATGTGGATGGTAATAGCAACAATGGGGTGACATCATAGAAAAAAAATTGGCATTTTGTGGTGGAAGTAGTAAACATTATGCATTGTCTCTAAGTTAAACTTTATGAACCAGCAAAGACATATTACCCTATGCACCAGAAAGAGAAACACGGCCTAAGGTACTGAACAATATTAACATGGACAATGCACCTACCTATGTGGAATGTTCAATAGTCTCAGACTTGCTTCAACATAAAAATAAATCGCAAAAAATATAGATATTGATATGGTATGACCAAAAACGTTCTTGATGCATGGCATGCATAATTGATTTCAAGAAAAAAGAAAAATTGCTCTTGTATAGAATGGACTTTGAATGAAACTTTAACACAGAAGAGAGAAGAAAGCAAAGCTACCGTTCGAGTGCTATATGCCCAAGAGTTTTGCCAAACCATGCCCTTTTCTCTGTTTTCATTTTCAAAATTAATCTCAAACATTTTGGCAAAATTTTGACCCAAACAATGTGAGGTGGCACCTTGTACGCCGCGTCCTGTATTTGGAATAAAAGCCTGCATGCATGAATTAATATCCTCAGGCTCACCATAGAGAGGCATAAGAAGTAAGATCAAATTATACATATAAATATACATAAAGAACATATCAAGTACCTCCACGCTAGTAGTATAAAGACCACCAGCAAATTTCTCATTCTCACTCTTTTTTCCCTTCACAACTGGAACTGCCATATACTCCTCGTATATCCTCCGGTACAGTTCCAATATCTCAAGGACCTAAAATCAGGATGTATAATAAAAAAGCAATCTTCAAGGAAAGGTGAGAACGGTTGAGAATAAAACTCAGCACGGTAAAAATGCAACTCTTATCCTAAAAGTGTGATTAGCAACATAATAAGCACAGAAAGGGGAAACAGCAATTTAAGTGGCTCGTTACCTCTACATCTGCCTCTGCCTTTGTTGCAAAAGCTGTATGGCCTTCTTGCCAAAGAAACTCCCGACTCCTAAGATCATATGAAGAAAAACCAAATTGAACAAACTTACAAAAGAGAGAGTTCAAAGAAAATGATCCTCTGACATAGAAATAGAGGGCAATTAAAAACCCTGACTAAATATGCAAGCAAACACTAAGCAAGAACTGAACTTGAAATCTATGGGAACAGAACGGAACGAACAAACAAAAAGGTTTTGACTCATCGCACTATTGTCAATACCACAAAAACACTACAGACAGTATTATAAGCACACCAAAACCATGACACATTGTAATACCTGATAAATGGTGTAGGATTGCTGAACTCCCACCGGACAACATTGCACCACTGATTTAGCTTCAATGGCAAATCACGGTGTCCTCTGATCCACTTAGCAAAATAAGGATACATAACAGTCTCACTTGTTGGACGAATTGCTATTGGCACTTCCAAGTCAGACTTTCCAGACTTTGTGACCCATGCAACCTATTTATCAAAATTAAAGCATGAAAAGAGAGGTAGTATAAAACAAATAAGATCTTCTCATAAAAAATAATCACAAACAGTAACGCAGTGGTGGTGATTGGGGAATAACAAGACAGGCTTAAATTTTCACAAAGTGACAAGCAAATTACAAATTTATCATTATACAACAATCTAATTTAAAAAAAACCAAGGCAAACACATAAAAGGGAAGGTTGCATGCTAAACACTAAAATAGGGGACATGCAAAGGAGAGAAACAGGGAAAGAAAACTAGAATAAGAAATTATAATCAACAATCAACTGCGCATGTGTATGTGCTTGTTTACATTTAACACAGTAAACTATGTCACACAAATGACATATCTCACCTCTGGAGCAAAACCCTCTATATGATCCTTCTCTCGTTCCAGAACACCAGGGGAGACAAATAAAGGGAAATAGCAATTCTTTATCTTCATTTTCTTTATTTCTGCATCAAAGAATGCCTGCAAAGTAACAGCGTTTGAAGTGAGTAATTGTGATGGAGTTACATAGCAATTTTCTAAAGGATTAGAAATCTACAAACATAAAAACTGGTAGGTAAAGTTCATAACTTTGACATTAGGGATGGATATATCACAAGATAGCCACTAATACTTAATCACATAAGTGCAAAATGAGATTATAAGTAAACTCAAGACAACAAGGGAAAATGTGTTGGGTTTTACGGCTCAAAATTAGGATGATGCAAAAAATTAGGTTTGTGTTACCTATTTGGTTTTGGTGTCCTATTTGGGTTTGGATTTTGACTTCTTAGTTGGTTTCCTTGGTGGAGAGATTTTGTTAATTACCTATTTGATTAGGATTTGGATTTACTTCCTATTAGGATTCTTATTGTAACCTAAGTCCTATGCACTATAAATAGGACCTTAAGGTTAGTGTATTTTGATGTGGCTCATTTGTGTGGCAATTTAGTGAGAGTCAATTTGTGAGTTTGTGAGTTAGAGAGCAATTTGGGAGAATCTTCTCTGTTTGTTTGAGTTCTCTACTCGTTTGGTTTAGGGTTTGTAATTTGTGGGATTTGGGTTGTGAGAGTTTAAACACTCTTTTGTAATCTCCGTTTGTTTAGTGAAATTCCTTGCTGTGCTTCGCCCGTGAAGTAGGCTTTACGCCAAACCACGTAAATCTCTTGTGTTAGTTTGAGATTGTTCGTTTTAGCTTTCACCTACGACGTTGATATTTGGTACTTTGTTATAATTCGCTTCCGTTTATGCATAAAAGTACAACAAAATGAAATGGTAGTATCAGGTTCAAATTGTCGAAAAGAATTCAGGCAAAATAGTTATCAACTGACGGGGTGAGATTACATCAATTGATACCAATACCATGATACGATGTCAAATTTAAATTGAGTCCTTCAGAACTATACAGGGAATGTGTTATCAAATGCTGTGACCGGGTGATTGTTAATGGTTCTAAAAGCAAAAAACTCATTTACAAAATGAAATGGATTAAATACGAAAAAATGTGCTTACTTGCATAGTCTCCCATATCGCAATCGTCCATGGCCTCAATATATAACAACCAGAGATATCGTAGTATTCGATCATCTCACTATTAACAACGACCTACACGCAACAAAACATGGGTCAATTCATTACTTACTTAATTGTTGAATAACCCCAGACAACCAGACAAGATTAAGACAGATACCTCAGAATACCACTCTCCGAAATTCTCATCCTTCTTCTTGGAAAGACCAAGACCGGTTTCTTTCTTCACCTCCTTCTTTTTCCCTCCTAAAAATCAGGAAATATTAATACCAAAGCTAAGCCAACAGAAACACAGAAATCAAAGAACAACCCGATAATTGAGAAGCAGAAAAGCGAAGCTCACCACCCTTGGCATTGGGCTTCTTAGCACCCTGGTCCGCCATGATTTGATATCTCTAACCTATATCAGACCACACGCACCACACGCACCACACACAAGATTATTACAACAATGGGCAGTGCTAGAAAACCATAAATCTACAAACTTAAACCATTTCACATATCTGGATAGCACAATTAAGCTCAGAGCTCAGCTTTTTTGCTAAACAATACCACAAAATGTAAAACTAAAGCAGACCCAGAAGAGAACAAAAGCGTACAGGAAAAACCCAGATTCCATTTTTAACAACTCGAGGATGAAACGAAGAAAAATGCAGAAAAAAATAGTAGAAAACGGAAGGAGAAACAAAATTGACCCCAAAAAACGAGAGAAAAAAAAATCTGGGAAAGTTGAGCTTTTAGTACCCAACTGAATCTGGTTGGTTGCGTTTGCGGCTCGGAGCTTTGCTTCTCTTCTCGCTCCTTCGCCTCCTTCCTCTCCTGATAATAAAGAAAGAGAGAAGACAGCAGACTCGAAGAATTTGTGCTATCACTATACAGCAGCAGGCTTTTTGCCCTAATTCGCTGCTTAGAAATTCCCTTTGTCTGAGAGATGCTTTTGGGCTTCGGCCCAAATAAGCAATAAGCTTGGCCCTAAAGCTAGCCAATTGAGTTTAGAAAGATTGATAAGCGTAAAATTAAATTAAAAATATCATAAATAATTAAATTAGGCCTTTAGAATAAGAAAATACGAAATATAATGTGTATCTTGCCAAATCTTCTTTCTAGTTTGATTAGTAATGATGGAGTTACAACTCTTAGATGGGACTTTATATATAGGCATTAAGGCTTTAGGTCTTTTGTCTTTGTTTAAGATTCTTTTTTTATTGAGAAGCTTGAGACCCAAGAAACTCAATTAACCAAGGTTTAGGTATGTACAAAAAGCATATGTTTAGTTTTATAGTTTAGGCCTTGGAAATCATTATCTTATTTTTTGGACAAAGACTAAATATTATTTTCTAGTCTCAAGGACCAAAAGGTTTGAATCTTTTTTTTTTTTTTTTTTAGGTTGATCTCAAATTTAGATCCTGATACAAAATATGTTCCAAGTTCAAATTCTTGAGTATATAAAAAAAATAAAAAAAATATAAGCCGGACAAATGGAGCCAAATTTTCTATTGTCAAAATGATCACTCATATATTTCATGCATTTATACCGTCAATTTATAAAGTCTTTGTGATGTTTTTGTGTTAAAATGGTTGCATTTTACCTTATCTTGTGTTAGCATGCAGTTAAATTTGCTTTAGGATCAATTTCAAACAAAAAGGAGAAAAGGAAATAAATTAAACAAACAAAAGAAATGGAAGTGGAGATTGTCTCCATGGGTGGTGTTTGAAAAAAGAGCACAAGCAAGGTGGAGCACTAGGAAGTGGGATGAGGTTTGTCTTCCACTTGTGCTTAGTGAATTGAAATGGCTGCCTTTTGTTAAAGGAAAAGCACGGAAGAAAAAAAAAAGGAATAAACAAAGGCAGAGAGAGGGAGAGCAAGAGGGAATAAAGAAAAAGACACGGACAGAAGAGAGTAGAAAAGAAGGAGAGGAAAAAGGGTAGAGGTCAGAGAGCAAAAGAAGCAGAGAATTAGAGTGCGGTGCGCAGGAAGAAGCAGAAAGGCAGAGGACAGGAAGTGAGGAGCAGAGAGCAAAAGGAACGGAGAGCTCGTCTTGCAAAAACGGGTGTTTTATTTCTTTGTTATTTTTTTTATGATTAATTTCTTATGTATTAATACAAGTATGTGTAACTAATTTATTTTGCTAGAGTGAGGCCATGAGCCGCAACATGAATACGTAGATTTATTTTTCAATTGCTTAAGTGTTGTTACATGCTTGCTTTGATATTTTCAATCACTGAATTAAACTATCTATGTACCTTGATGCTTGATCACCATTAGGATGCTTAGAAAAGTTATCGGATGCAATTTTGAACGAATGTCACGTTAAAATTGGTTGTGCTTCTTGTGATTGAGGATTGTACTCTCCTAAGGTAAATATCATGCTCTTAGGGATTACATGGTTTAACAAAAGGATTTTCACCAAGATTAATGAATCACTCATGTTTATATTTAATCCAAATGTCATGGATAAGTTGCATGTAGTGGTATGTGTTTTAGCTTGAATGTCACAAGTAAAACATACACAAGGAAAATCCAACTTTCAAAGCATGTGTATTTTCAATTATTTAAGCACTTGGAATAGCTACGTAGGAGCGTTGTTGGTAAAGGTTGAACTCTAGCATATTGTCAATCTATTTTTCTTCAATCCTTTATTTTATCTTGAATTTCCTCATTTACTTGTTTTGTTTAGTTGAATCACTATTCCTATAAGCCAATTCCCATTTTAGATATTTGTTTAAGTCACATCCAGTAGTATTTAGTTTCGTCAAATTAGTTTAGTTCTTAGAGTTAAATAAGTTAAATACACAAAAACTCGTAAATTGTTTATATCAGTCCCTGAGGAGATTGACCTTGCTTGAGCCATTCTATACTACAAACACTTGTTCTCTTGCAAGAATTTTCTATGGTTTAACCCTTTGTTTTACAAGTGGTAAAATCGCTATCAAGAAATTGGCGCACAACTAACATCCGCGTTAAAGTGAGACCTAATCCCACGGACTTCTTGGTTGGTGTCTTGCAAGTAACATTACTTGTTCAACACTACCAAACGGATCAGGGAATTAGTAAAATACGATCCATCATTTAATTGTTTCCAAAGCAATAGTTGAAAAACAGATGGGACTTGTAACCACCGCACACCATTTTGCTCCTCTCGCTTACCCGAGCTAGGTATCGTTTGTTATTTTCATTTGATTCATTCAATATGGTCTCGTTTGTTGTTTTTGTTTGATTCATTCAATTTAATGGTTAGGAATAAAAGATGAATACAGTTAGAAAAAGAAAGGCGTGTGATTAACTTGTAAGTAGTGACTGCGGACACATCATCTGTCTATTTACATTTACACTTGTAGAAAGATAAAACGTTCTAAAGAACTAGGACCTGTGGACATGACAGTAAAAATGCAAACTTACAAGTCATAAAACATAAATTATACACCAAAAACAAACCAATTCTATTGCCATACCCCTTCTTTGCAGATCATTAAATAGCTAAATCTAAGCTGCAGAAACAAGGTCCAAATCCTTGTTTTCGTCCCCAATTAAATTAGCCACAATGAGGCTCACATCTTCCAGGCCAACTCCAATGTACAAAGGATTCGTCGGACTTCTAACGGAGTCATCCATTCCTTCGGATTGAATCCTGCCAACGGTGGTTGAAACCCTCACATTAGGGCCGTTTTTGCATTTTCCCATACACTTGCACCCTACAACAGCTCCTTCACCGCCCATCTGCCTCTCGAATTCTTCCAACAACGCTCCGCCTCCTGATTTCTTGCACTTGTTTCCCATGCACACCTCAATCTTCTTCGCTGAAACTCCGACAACTGCGCTACTTAGAGACTCATTAAAGGTAATACTACCGCTACTGCCACAAATAGTACTAGTTCCATTACAGCATTCTGCTTTTTGATCTATCTGTGAACTTCCAAAATCAATGCCAGTTTCCACAGTTGTGTTCTCTTGATGAGTAGCTAGCGAGCTAAGTATGGTCAACAATGCCCCTTCTTGATGAGCAAATGGCTGCAAACTATCTACAATTGGTTGCGCCGGGACTTCACTTTGCAGGCGCTTCATGTCTACCACCTCCCCACACTCACTGTCACTGGATTCAGACGATGAAGACGATGATGATTCACTGTCAACCATGGTTTTCATCCGCTCAGCTTTAAGCCTTGCCTTCTCTTCTTTCCCCTTCTTCTTCAATTCCTTTTCCTCTGCTCTTAGCTGTTCCAATTGTTTTAGCAATAATTCCTCAGCACTTTCCTGCATATAGAGAAACTTAAACATTTAATCACTCCAGCTCAATAAATCATCAGTACCAAAACCCAATTTCGCGAAAATTAAAACACGTCTGATTCATTCTTCCCACAAAATAAAAACGAACTCTTATAAATTTAGAAGCGATCTAAACTATGTTAATTAAAAAAATCTACCTTTAAAATGTAAAATTACAAAATTCACAGCAGAAAGGTAGAAATTTTACCATGAATAAAAAATAAAAGCCCAATTCAAGTAAAATTACAGAGATAAAATTCAAATGAACAGAAACATACCGAGATCAGCTTCCCCTGAAGTTGATCGACCAAACCCTCTTGAGAATCCAACGGTCCAAAACCCATCTGAGAATACGCCGCCAAGTTCTTCGACAACCCCTTGAGCAACTTCACCTTCTTCTTGATCTCCTTCGCCTTCTCCTTCATACCACCGCACATGGGACCCGCCTGATAATACTGTAAATGTCCGTCGTCGCTAAACCCGGAATTTAAATGCCGGCGAGGCTTTCTGGTTCTCAGTGAAACTCCAAAATCACGACGACCCAGAACGCGAAGCTTGCAGTTAAACGACGACGTACAAGAACGGGCGGAGTTGTCGATTTTAGCAGCGGAAAAGCACTGAACTTGGCGGGAAACGACGCCGGAGGCCTCCATGGCTCTTTAAATACGATGCTGAAAATTGGGAAACCGTAGACCCACAAAACGCACCGTATACCAGAATTAACAGTTGCAGCGTTGCAGGTGAAATCGATTAAGAGATCGTCGTTTTAAATCGTAAAGACCAGAGCTTGCGTCTGCGTAGCTTCCTTGTACGAGAGGGAGGGAGGGGGGAAGGAAGAGAGAGACGAGGGGACGGAGAAGGCTTTGGTTTTAACTGTTAGAGCCACGTGCACGTTTTTAATTGACGGGTGATGACGTGGAATGGCGGGTGCTGGGCATCTGGAAGCTTGTGGCCGTTTTCGGTTGTCCACACGAATTGTTTGAGTCTTCACCTTTCGATGGATCCGAGGGTGGAGATGAAGCCAACTGGTGCCACATGTGCTGCCAAGTAAGCGTTTCTTAACTTTTGCGCCATAAAATAGAAAATACTACTTTTTAAAACAAACATTTTTTTAACTCAATTTCATTATACAAACCCACATTTAATACAGAGTAATATTATGTAAGCCCAAATTATTGAACCAAATTTACAAATTCTGATGTGTTACCAAAAGAATATAAATACGTTAATCAACATATAATTAATAATTTAATCATCAATCATCATGACATATAGTTTACGAAATTTGATTTAAATAGTTAGTTTTCAAGATGTCAGAAACCCGATCTGGTGTACCAAGTATCAAAATATAAGTGGTTGAAGTATTTTTTTTTAAATATTCAACCGTTTATATTATGATACTTAGTATCATAGTAAACGTATTTCCTGTACATGAAAAATCTCACATAACATCACCCTTTTAACATAATAATCCAAAGATAGATTATATTCACACACTCCAATTTACTTTTTCCAAATCTTTTTAATTTTTTAATATTTTCTACACACTACTAACACTTGATAAAAAAATTTAAAAAATTAAAAAAATGTGAGAGAAATAATTTGGAATGTGTGAAGACTATTATTGTTCTTTCTAGAATTTAGAAGGTTTCACATGCTTTGACTACCGAGTCAACTTTTGCACACTATTTTTATTATAGATTTTTCTAAAGGGGATAACGAAACACGTTTTTTTTCATTAGATTTTAATATGGAAAATGATAAGAGTATACAATTTTTTTTATTGTACATATCTTTGACTTTTCACCGTTGAATTGGATATAAATTAAAAACAACTACTTTAAATTGAATATATAAAATAGAAACAAAGAATATGGGTAAACAAGAGTAGGTAAAAAAACATAAAAAAGGGTCGATTGTTATGCCCTATTGTAATAGGTATAGGCTAAACAACTTTTTTTTGGCTACGTAACATGAACTAGTAAACGTATGCTATACACTCGTACAATACTTAAAAGGTGATAGCAAGGGAATATGATTCTTTTCTTTCTTATTACCGTCATTTTCCCTCTCCTCTCCTCACACTCTCATTTTCATCTTTTTCTCTACTTAAAAAAATTCAAAACAAAATGTTGGCGTGACTTAATCGTAACTATTTAAATAGAAGGAGAGAATATCCTATTCCGATAGCAAGACAAACAACGTGGGGCAAAAGGCAATGCCAATCTACAGCCAACATTCGTATCAGCAACAATGATTCAGCTTTGGCAATTTGCAAATACAACCGTGTTTCAAACA